CCAACCTTCCTTCAGAGGAGTGGCTGGTGGGTTTGAACCGCCAGCCGTCTGGTTAGCAGGCAAGTGTCTTAGCCACTATGCTACCAGAGCTCCTAAGTCACCAATTTAGTTATCAAACTTGGGCTTCATCTTCTTAAGGGGGTGGAAGAGGAACTGGTGATATAATAGAAAAAAGATTTAGATTCGAATTATCTGGAAAGAGTAAAAGCTCTGTTGCCTACTACTTGGATTACCCTGGACATGTCCCTTCACTCCTCTGAGTATTAGTTTTCTCATGGGTAAAGTAGAGTATCATAGGCAAAATTGATTACAATGGAACAAGTGTAGGCATGCCTCAAAAATATTGCAGGTTTTGTCCCAGATCACTGCGATATCATAGTAAAATGAGTCACACAAATATTTTGGATTCCCAGTGCATATAGAAGTTATGTTTACACTACACTGTAGACTATTAAGTGTGCAAGCATTATGAAAAAGTTTAAAATATTGTGAGAATTACTAAAATGTGACACAGAGACATGAAGTGAGCTTGTGCTGTTGGAAAAGTGGTGCCAACAATCTTGTTCGACTCAAGGTTGCCAGAAACCTTCAATTTGTTTAAAAAAAAAAAAAAAACCCACAATATCTGTGAAGTGCAATAAAGCAATGTATAAAAAAAAAACAAAGTATATCTATATATGAGATTGCTTTGTAAACTGAAATCATGATGTCATTGTTAGTTGTAATTTTGATTTTGAGACTAATATTAAGCTTGGGACATTCCAGAAAGCCTCCTGGAAAATAAAAGCACTGATAATCAGCTTCTGAGCAAGAACAGACAACAGTGAATTACCAGCCCTGGGGTGGAGCTTTTTGTTGCCATCCGATTATTAGTCATACTGAGAGCTAAAATCCAAGAAATCATATTTGTATCTCAAAATCCAGTGAAAAACATAGACATACTTTTATAGAAAGGTAGACTTTTAGTAACTTGATGTAATAAAATAATTGTTGGTGATAAAAATATTAGGCTACAGGGAAAAAGATATCACAGTTGTGTTAGTTAAATTTGTATGTCAACTTAGCTGGGCCTGGTTGAGTGTCTGGGCAGCTGGTAGTAGTTACTCCCCATGATGAGAATGGCAATCAACTTCCTGATAGAATCTACTGTGAGTAGCTGAGTAGCTGTCTTTATGTATGTAGTCTGCTTCCTGCATATAAGCAGCAGCTTTGGGAATGGTCTCTAGCTTGTGGCATGCTTGAACCCTGCATGTAGCTGTGTCATTGTTCAACAGCCTGCCATGCTCTACCAACCTTGGGACTTTCAGTGGACTTGAATCAATGGCCTGCCATGTGGTTTGGTAACATGAGGACTGTGCCATTTTATTTGACCCTTGGGCTTGTTAGCCTGACCAGCCAGTAGCTGCCTGGGTGAAGAGATGCCTCTAGCTTCGGTGGGCCGGGAGCAAGAGGCAGAGCTGAAGCCTAAGGTCTAGGGTCTTTCACACAGCCCCTAGAGCCTGGCACTTTGAAATTGGACTTAAAGCCTCCAAACTGAGAGAATGAAACTCCTGTTTGTTAAGGCCATCCCATTTGTAATATATTCTTGTGAGAGTGACACTAGGTAACCAGAACAACAGTGAAGCCTGAAATGATGATACCATGATGCCCCTAATACCCCTGACCATGTGCGGAAAACAGGCAAACCAAGACAAACTAACACTTTATTAGCTAGGTTGAGGGTGGGGTGTAGAATGTTCCCTTTCTTCTTTCACAAGTACGCCAACAGCCTTGAAACAATGTGACTCTAATATTAGAGGGAGCTCTGGTAGCATAGTGGCTAAGACACTTGCCTGCTAACCAGACGGCTGGCAGTTCAAACCCACCAGCCACTCCTCGGAAGGAAGGTTGGGCAATCCTACTTCCATAGTGATACTGCCTCGGAAACCCAAGGAGGGGTCGCTATGAGTCGGGTTTGACTCAACGGCACATAACAACAACAACAACAACAACAATGGATTAGAAGCAGAGAGAGACAGAAAGACCTGGGCTAAAGCTGAAGATGGAGATTGATCCCACACCGTGGCCTTAGACTGTTCCTTGCCCTGACCAATATATTTTCTGTCAGCTTCCTCAAGTTTACTTGGAAGGTTCAAAGGTGGCTTTTGCCAGAGGATATTTTTTTTTTTTCCTACATATATTACCTGTCCTTTATTTCTTTCTTTTTTTTTTTTTTAATTAGGATTTGGGTGAAGATTTACAGAGTAAATTCACTTTTCATACAGCAGTTCACATATACTTTGTCTCATGTCATTGACCAAAATTTACAATGCAGCAGCTCCCCTCCCACTTCGTCCCCATAGTTACCTCCTCCCAGTGTCCATCCCTTTATACTCTTCTGCACCCTGAGCTGTCTCCCTGTGCATAAGTAGCCCTTCCTTCTCCCATGATTGTTCTCTCCAGGGCGTGTGTCTACTTGAGGTAAATGTTTAACTCACATGCCTGTACTTTGTTTGGCTGGAAACCACAGTTGTGGGTTCAATTCCAGACCTGAAGGGCAGCTAGGGGCCATAGTCTCAGTGGTTACACCAGGCTCTATTGGACCAGCAAACCTGCCAGAGGATATTCTTAATGTCACCAGCATGTAAAACAGAGATAATAAGGAAAAGAGAGAAAGATATATTGCCTCTTTTTTTGCTCTGAATATAGATACTTTTGCTTTGATTTTTTGAAGTTCTATGAAAGCTCCACCCCTAAACATTGTCATCTTTTTGTCCTGGAATTCAACTAATCTAAATCAATACTCCTCTGCATTGGTGAAGTAAAGAGAGAGATTATCTTCCCAATGAGGTCAGGACAAATAATGTAGGTGGAAAAAATTTCCTCTCAATTCCAAAGGAACTTAAATTTTCACAAATTCTGACACAAAATTAAGTTTCATAAATGGTATATGAGTGGTGGTCTTTTATCAGAATTAAGTTTTCTTGCTCAGCACTTTTATCTTGATCCATTTCCTAGAATGTTTCCCTGACTTTTAGCACATACTTAGTTACTCTGGTAACTTGGAGGAATACCTCTCACCTACTCAGCTAACTCGTCTCAGTCTTAATTGTTATCATCCTTCCAGAGCCCACACACAGAGAGACAGTGCATTGTCAGGCAGAAGCAAGTTATAGGCGTTGGTTGACATCGATGGTGGGATCAGTTTTGCATGTACTTGACCAGGTATATGGTGATCACCAGAAAAGTCTGCAGCAATATCTGCTTGATGAAATCAACAATAGGTTCAAACTGTGCCCTGTGAGTGAAATGAGAATATAAATCTCAGAACTGATGGTTTTCCTTTTTTCTTTTTTCCTAGAAGTATCGATACCAAGATGAGGACGCTCCACATGATCATTCCTTACCTCGGCTAACCCATGAAGTAAGAGGGCCTGAACTTGTGCATGTATCAGAAAAGAACCTTTCTCAGATAGAAAATGTCCATGGATACGTCTTACAGTCCCACATTTCTCCTTTGAAGGTCAGTTGGATTGCTTTTTGGTTTTATAGTTGGCGACAGTGGTTTGTCTGTATTGTTAAGGGAGATGTTTGCTGGCCAGATTAAATGAGTTATTTTAAAACACCACAGTGGCCCCTGATTGCCAAAGGATCTTTCTGTGGTTTAGAGGCTAATCTGGCATTACTGAGGCAAGGACAATTTTATTGCAATTGTTTGAATGTCTGGAAAATCCATTTAGTTTCTGAGAATGGGCTAAGGAAATAGTCAAGTATGAGCAATTGAAAGGGAAAATGAGCTAACCACATATTTTAAAAACTGAAAAGTATATCAAAGCTTTGCTCATCTCTATTTCTGGTTCCAGATAAAACAAAGAAAGTAAAGTTAACACCTACTGATTGCCTTATCTTCTTAACTAAAAAGGAAAATGTGTGAGTTGGCTCATCAATGCATCTGTTTTATCCTAGGGGAAATAGTGAACCAGATTTTTTTTGTCATACTTTTCTCAACACTTTTTACCTTCTTCCAATAACTTTAAAAAATTTATTGGTGAAAGCCATTTGACAAGAAGGAACAATTAAATGAGAACAAGAATTTTCTGTGCTTATTGATAGCAAATGATTGCCTATTTCTTCCCTAGTACTATGGGATTTTGTGCTTATAAATGTTCATTAAAGTTCAAAAAGAAAAAATAGAACTAGAATCAATTTTTTGTTTGTTTTTTAAGTTAATGTAATAGAAGAGACTCAAACTGGGGGGGAAAAACCACCAAATAACTCCTTAATTATTGCTTATTATTTGTCTTAGATTTTGTTAGCTAGAACATTCATTTCATAAGAACTTCCATATGGCAATGCCACAATAAAATATAAAGCAATAAAGAAGACCTCAATACACTCTGAGATATTATTCATGCCAAGATCTCAAAGGTTAAATTATGGTTTGCATAGTCCAAAAAAATTGGTACATTTTTAATAAACTGGCTTCCTTAAAATGTATTATCAAATAAAATAGCATAGTTATTAACAATCAGTAAAATACTGGAATAATTGTCAAATTCCAGTCCTTAAGATATATAAATATTATGCCTCTCATTGTGCTATTTTTTTCCAGAGTTTCTCTTGAAATAATTACATGACTGATGGCTGATGGAAAAGGGTATATTTAACCTGGAGAAAAATAGATGAGGTTAAGGGACAGGAGGTTATCTTGAGGTATACCTCAAGGGATACCATGTATATGGTATAACGTGATATTGGTGTCATCCAGCAGGCAGAAGTAGAGCCTCTGTGCATAACAGATAGGAATGTATATTCAGGATCATTATAAGACCACAGCTCCTGATATTTAGAGCTGTCTCCAAAACAGATGTAGACTAATTTGTGAAGCAGGGTATCTCTGTTTGTAGAAATCCTCCAGGCATGAGCAATCTGTCAGTAGCATTATGGAAAGGATTCCTTCATTGGCAGGAGGTTGAAAAATACTGTCTGTAAGGTCCCATCGAAATCTCGGAATCAATGGTTCTACTCTGATCAGATGAATAGCTTTCTTGTTTAGGAATCCTTTCAATGTTGGGCGGGGAGATTAGTGCCTAAGGCATTTGACTGCTAACCAGAAGGCTGGCAGTTCAAAACCACCAGCCACTCCTCAGAAGGAAGACTAGGAGATCTACTTCCATAGAGATATACCACCTCAGAAAACCAAAGGGTCACTACGAGTCTGAATTGACTCAAGGGCAGTGAGAATGAGAGAAAGCTAGGCTGGTTACAGAAAATAATATCAACAAAACAATAAAAGCACAATAAGATCTTCGTTTTGTTTGAGTCTTCGGTATATATATGATAATACAATCTTCTGCATATCTACAGTTTGGGTGATTATACCATCAGTTATTAAGCTACTCAACACCCTATTTGGAAAATTTCTATCAGAGTTGGGAGAAAAGTTTACTTTTTCTGAAGATCAGATCTCCAATACATAAAGATACCTTTCCTATTTCCTCCTTTTTCCTTGCCTTCCAAGAAATCTCAGAAATAGGTATCTTCAACTTCAGTGGCTTTCCTTAGCTTAGGTTTTCTGTTAAATTTATCTGCCTTTTAACCTATTTCTTATTCTGTCCTTCTAAACACTTAACAGTTTTTATGGTTTTACTGTAGTGTTTTACTTTTAATGAGGACACTTCAAATCACTTTTAAAATAGCCAACTATGAATAGTAAATGCATGATATAAAACACCAAAGTTGTAATAGATTTCTATCCCATTTTTGGAAGTACCAGTTCAGTAGTGTTGCCCCTCCAAGGTAGGTGAAGAAGAAGGGAAGTTGATTTTTCTCAAAGACTTCTGAATCTAGGCCATGTGGACATTATTTGGGGATCTGAGTTTTTCCCTCATGACCTTCTAGAGGTGTTGTTTATGTTAAACAAGATATCCTTTTAGAGTGTCTTAATGAAGAGACTCCATGAACTAAAAGGAGTAGTAATGGGGCTAAATTTGTACATTTTTCTCCAGGGGGCAAGGGAAGCCCTGCTGTTTTTGTTACTTAGTGCAGCTCTGACAGGAATATACCACAAATGAGATGGCTTGAACAAACAGAAGTTTATTCTCTTACACTTTTGGAGGCTAGAAGTCTTAGTTCAAAGTACCAAGCTCCCAAGGGCTGGGTGAAAGCCCCTCAACCTTAGCTTCAACTCTGCCTCTGGCTTCCAGCCCACTGAAGCTGGAGGCTGTTGTTCACTCAGGTAGCTGCTGGCTACTGAGGCTGACAAACCCAAGTCAACAAGTGAAAAGGCACAGTCCTGATATTACCAAACCAGATGGCAGGCCATTAAATCAAGCCCATTAAAAGTCCCAAGATCTGCAAGACAACATGGCAGGCTGCTGAACAACAACTCAGCTATATATAGGGTTCAAGAGTGCCATCAGCCAGAGACCTTTCTCAAAGTTGCTTCTTATATACTGAAAGCAGCCCACATCCCTAAAGCAGCTATTCAGCTGCTCCAGTAAATTCCACCGTGGAGTTAATTATCATTGTCTTTGTGGGTAAAGACCACATCCAGCTGCCCAGCCACTCAACCAGGCTCAGCCAAGTTGACATACAACCTTAACTACCACACCTGCTGTGTAGGGTTTGCCAGCTTCATGTTGTTAAGTGCTCCTATCATGGTCGATTTCAGGATACCAACTTGAAACTACTGAATATATCTGGAAAGGGAGGTAAGTGGTCCACACTCTCACAAGCCAGAAAGAACCTGCCCTCTCAGATTTAAGCACATGTATTTTTATAACGACACAACACATTTCCTAATGTAATTGTTGAGCATTATTACATTATCACAGTTGAAGTATTTGGAAAAATTTATCATGATTAAAATCTAATGTACTATGTTCTGACAAAGATTACCATTAGACTTAGGGAAATGCTAAGAAGTTATTGATTCTTGATTAGACTTGGCATATTTTCAATCCCTTTGCCTTCTTTGGGAGCTCTGGTAGCATAGTACCTAAGGCATTTGACTGCTAATCAGAAGGCTGGCAGTTCAAACCCACCAGCCACTCCTCAGAAAGAAGATTGGGCAATCCACTTCTGTAGAGATAACACTTCGGAAACCCAAGGAGGGGTCGCTATGAGTCAGATATAACTCGAAAGTAGTGAGTTTGGTTTGGTTTTGGTTTTGCTGTCTTTGATCTGCTGAGACTTATGGGTCAGGCACTAAAAGGGGGAAGAGTGAGTGGAGAAGCAAAATACAAAAGCAGATAATGTCCCCTGTATCCTACATAAGAAACAATGTGGCTCTCTAATATTAATTTGTAATTTACATATGACAATCCAAAACAGAACCTGAGATTGCAGAAACACAGTTTAAATGTTACATGGAACAGCCTCTGAATCATTGGCTGAGCAATCTCGCTGTTGCAAGTTTGATTAGCATTTCTTCCACTGTCCTGAATCGCTTGAAACTTCAGTTCTAAGATTCATCTGCCTTTCCAGCCCAAGAGCTGCCTGGGTGATGGAGTGTTTTACTTAGGTTGTTTTCATTAGAGGGCCTTGGCTATTGTGAAGTATGGGATTGGAAGGGAAAATGCAATTTTGCAGTGAATTCAAAGGAATTTGTTTTCCTTGCCTCAAGATTGAGATTCTTTCTCTTCAGATGCTGCCTACAATATTCCACAAAAGAATTTGACCTATAGTATTGCATGCAAATTTGTCTTTCAGTTTAGATCAGTGAAATAAATTTTAATTGAGTGTCTACTACGTGCATCATAATATGTGATAGAGAAACGAAGGACAGTAAAACGTGGTTGTGAATATCTAATACTCTCCTAGGGAACCTGAGTTATAATTATCTGTAACATCATCATACTCTTCAACAGGAGTTCAAATTCCTCAAGCTTAGCTACTGTGGGACCCTCAGGCACCTAACAGAGTACCCTGCACCTGGAGTATTTGTTAAAGGGAGGAAGTGAGTGAGGAAGGAAGGAAAGAAGAATTTATGTTTAAGCCTGACATTTTCATGTTAAAGACAGAAAATACCTAACACATAGTAAGCACTTATCAACTGTTAGTTTTATTCTTGTTATTATTAGTCAAACACTATGCTAAATAACTTAAAATAACTTATTTATCTCATTTTACCTCTGCATGATTTTATTAACCCTATTTTAAGATAAACATGCAGAGACAGACACAAAGAGATTAAACAGCTTCCCTCAACCACAAACTAGCAAATAGGAATATCAGAACTTTTAACCAAGATTTCTCTGGCTGTAAAGCCCATATTCTTCATCACTTCTGGGTTACATCACTTTCTTCTAACCTGTACTGATATTTCAGATTTGAATTTTCATTTTTTGGTTCTATGTGTATAAAAGTTGAGGGTGATTTTTCTTATGGTTGTTATTTTTAAAAACTAAGCTGATAAAAAGCGTAACGGGATATGCTAGAAGTTTCCTTTCTTTCTTTCTTTTTTTTCAATGAGAACCATGAACTGGTGTGATGGGTGGGGACATTGTGAGCCAGTAGAAG